CTCCTAATTTGAGATGAACACCCGATCACCGCCTCCGCAACAATTTGTCAGCACTTGTGAACAACGCCGTCTGTGAACATTTGAAGAACTCATTGGCTCAGTGCGACATAGTCTCCGAGCTTATCACAATCCAGAACAGAGAGAAGATGATGCACAGCAAGGAGAGCGTGAGGCAGAGTGGAGGAAAATGCATCATTTGCTGCGCAATTCGCCATCTGTAGTTTTATCAGCATACAAATAGCAAAAGCTGACAATCAGAGTTGATCCTCAGAGCTCAAAGCTACTGCTGCTGCGGCTCTGGAATGGGAGCCGTTCCAAGCGATCAGTCAAAGATCACTTAATAAACATTCAGTTCGAAAAGACATGCCCATTTCACAGTCAAAAACCGTACAGCAGCCTTATCTCAGATGAACTGAATACGATGATGACTGCAGATCGCAGATCATCATCATTTTGAGTTTACGTGGAAGTTTTAAATTCGAGTAACATACCAATTTCAATAGTTCCCTCGAATGAAAGTTGTTAATGCGATCAGTGTTCAGAGTATCAGTCAATACCTGGCAAAATAGCTAGAACACCAAGCAACCAGACTCAACTGCTGCAGTTGGCCTTAAGTACGTTCATTTAGTAGCAGCATTAACTTTAAATCGCTTACACAACATGATGAAATTCGTCTAAGCGCTCACGATAATTCTCGCCTCACATTTGAACATGTCGAAACATGCATATTTTATTTTTTTGTCCAACTGTTTTTTGCGCATAATTCTATTTTATATTTCGATAAAGCCTGAGAACTTGAACGTATCGAAGTTTCGCCAGTAGAGTTTGTGACGCGTTTTACTGTGGTTTAAGATTAAAGCTCTGAGATAATAATAATGTGTATGCTACACGAGTCTCAGCACGGAGTTTATATTGTGCATATTATATACATAGATAGATATATGCATATTGCAATATTGATTTGATTCTTTTAACCCCAATACAATGTCTTGCCAACGACGATTTTATTTTTAATATACGATATAAAGATAAAGTTAAAAAAATATATATTCATCAAAATATGCATAGCTCATTAGACTCGACTCAACTGTTCGGTAACGAATGTGTACTCTTGTCTCATTCATATACAGGTTATTTACAGGGTATAGATGTTTAATTGTCAATAAAGATGACTTGGCCAACAAACTGGGATATTGTTTTTAATATGCATTTTATTAGAATATTTAATTCAATACCACAATACCCCCTTCTCCCACCCACTCCTCACTCCACCTAATACATCAAATTTTGGTTATGTGGTTTACAGTTGGTTTCTTTTGATGTTTTGTTTTTTAAATAAATTGTACATTTTTAATTATTGCGGTTTGGATTTGTGCGGTTTTTTGATAGATTTATTTATATATATATATTATTTTGTATATATTATATTGTATATATATATATATATATATATATATTTATGTATATATATACATGTATATATAGTGCCTTTGCACGCTGGAGAAAAGCGTGAGAAATTTTTGGCCGTGGTTTTGTTTTTAGGTTGTAGTTTTTGTTATTGTTGCTTTTATGTTTTGTTTTTTGTTGCTATTTTACTTGTCGCTGTCGACGTTGTTTCTGTGTTTTGGTTTTTGCCTTTGTTTTAGTTTCAGTTTCGCCGCTGCTGCTGTTGCTTTTGTTGTTGTTGTTGTTCATTTTGTTGTTGCTACTGTTGCTTATTATGCTGATAGCGTTTTTGGGTGGCTTTTGTTGTTTGTTGTTTGCTCAAGCGCATGTCTGTGCTTGTCTACGTGTGTATGCCAGGAACGCAAAAATTTAAATTCGATAAGCGGCATTTATAACGGCCAGTGACATTTGTCTGCACCCTTTGCAACAGGCATACAAACACACACACACGCCACATAAACGGCACTTAAAATTAAAGTTAAAGTTATAACTGTCCGGACAACAAATCTGGCAATAAAAAACCAGCTTTCATAGTGTCTGAAATTCGATAAACGGACAAACAGACGGACGTGGCTAGATCGAGTCGGCTCAAGAATATATATATTCTATACCCATTTTCAGTGTTCAGGATCGTCATATATAAACTGTCTTATTAAATTTGTTGTGTTCCTATAGTTTGCGCTGTTAAACAAGATCTATTTTTAATAGATTACCTATTTTATTATACTTTAATACTAATTAAATTAAATTATTGTATATTAAGCTGATTAGTACTTAATTATTGTATGATGCAGTGCTGTACACCCCCCTCCCCCCCCACACACACACACATAGCCTCACCCCCTTCCCAGCTGACTTTTTAATTATAGTACAAGTTAAGTCTAGTTATGAGCAATTTCGTTGCAAGCTTCAAGCAACAATTTCGAGCAATTAACAAATAATTTGTCTAAACATCAGATGTGAGAGTGTGCACAGCACTTTACAGCAGGAGTGGGTGGGGTTGTGAAATGGTTAGTGGTGGAGGGGGTGGGGTGTTGTAATGAATTTACACGTTACACTTGCCTGCATCGGCAAGCGTCCGATTAAACGTTCGAAACAAGTGCGCCAACATATTTGTTGTTCATGTTCTTGTTGTTGTTGAGCGCTTTTCATTGTGCGGTAAATCACACGCAATAAAAAAAATAGTACCTGTGAAAAACAAAAAAAAAAAAAACAACAAAACTGCTAAAAGCGTTTCACGCTCTATCGATGAAGCGTTGAAATGGCCCAGAGAGCAGCCAGTTAATTCATTTAAGCCCAAACTGGCCACGCCCACAGCGGCAAACTATGCCAATTACAAAGCTGAAACCAAGACAAACAGAAAACTAGAAAAAAAAACAGTTGACAGCTTTTATTTTTTAGTCATGCAAATCAATTGCAGCTGGCCAAGTGAGTCACTAGCAAACCAGTGGGTGGGAGGGTTTGAGGCGAGGTAAATAGCAGTCAGAAATTAGATCGCAGTATCATATGAATATGGTTCTACACAGATGCTGAGATAAAAGAGCTATAAGAACAAAATCAAATAAATTCAAATGAAATAAATGCTTGAAATTCAAGTAGGAATGCTATAGTCGAGTGAACTCGAACTGCCTATGGCATACGGGAACTCACAATCCAACTTTGACGTCTGATGTATATAAATGAATATAAATACCTGATGGGATTAGGAGATGTGTCTTCTTTTGTATGTCACAGACTTTTGCACACCTTCAGCATACCTATTTTCATTATAATTTTCAGGGTATCATTAATAAAAGCTGCCAACAATAATTGTCGGCACTTAGTGCAATTTAAATTAAAGCTGAAGAACTTGTTCAAGTCTCACTTTTCAAGTGTAGTTTAGCAAGAAACTTTAAGCATGCTAAAAAAAATTTAAGAAAATATTCAATCAGACTTTATGATAATGATGCAAATAATATGCTCGACGTATTTGTTCTTTCTCTGAACTCAAGAGCCGCACCTCAACAAATACGAATAAAACATTTTCAGTGGTCTGAGTGTTTATTTTATTTGATTTTTTTATATATCTTTTTGCTGCACTAATTGAGGTCAATTAGTTGATACACACACACACACACACACTTAGGAGAGGCAGGCAACGCGCAGCTGGCGACACAATGTTGCAAAAAAAAAAAATAATAAAAATGAAGACAATCATCAATGTATAGCAACATATGTTGCTGACGACGGCTTGTTTTGTTTGCTGCTGTCTTTGCAATAAATTTCGCAATATTATGCATACGACGCGTATGACTCAGGCTTGAAATTTCGCTCAGCGTTGCATGTATGTGTATGTATGTGTGTTTGTTTGTGTTTGTACATATATGTTTTTATCAGGCCAAGATTTATGCCGGGTTGGTTTTTTTTTTGTTTTGTGTCTGTGCCATCGATCATTCAAATGTGAAATTTATGTTTACGTGTTCGCGACAATTTCGTGTTGCACATTTCGAATGCGAAGCGCGGCACACAGTCAGCGCTCATTGAAAACAGCAGAAAAAAAGGGTTGCTAATATCGCCACACATACATATGTATATGCCGAGGGTGATGGAGGGGGCTTTAAGTGCTGCTGCAACGTAGACTTTATTATATATAAACATATATATATATATATATATATACATTTTTTTTTGTCTCATTTTTTTCGTTTGACGCGTCACGAAGACAAAGCCATTTATTTATTATGCTGGGCAATCAAAACTTATTGTCGCCTATTGTCCCTTCCCCCGCTATCCCCCATCGCACCCTCCTCCCTCACCGCTGCCCCAGGTCTGTGCGTTCGACGTCGTGGCAGGAAATCGCCACACGCCCAATTAGCAAACATTGGGGCGCTTTGGCGCGCTTTGGCGCGCGGCGCGTTTGTTTAATTTGTGTGTGTGCCATTTTTACAATGAAAAATAAGCATATTACGAGCTTTGTCTTGCTTCTTCCTTTTTTTGCTTGCTTGCAAATGTCTTCTTTTTTTATTTTTGCTGCCCTCACTGGTTAGGTAGTTCAAGTGCAATGAACTTTAGTTACAACGTGGTTGATTTTATGGCGGTTGGTGTTCTGCAGCTGCTGCTTCTTTCTTTTTGTTGCGATTTACTTGTTGCTGCCCGTAACATGAAACTAGAGACTACCCCATCGTTAGCACCCTGTTTAAATAAGCTTGCAATCGGTTTTTAAACTTTAACTATTCATATAGTTTACATAGATGTTTTTGCATGTTTTTGTTCTTTCTTTAATTTCTAATTTATGTATCAATGTGAAAGTAATTGATTTTATAGAGATAGTTTTCTAATTATTGAAACATGCATTAAAATAATTTTGGATTGATTGAATCATCTTTTGATGTTGTTACATATTCATATTTATTATCTTTATTTTTTGAAATCATTTTTCAAAATTTTAGGCTGTTTTTAGCCCACATTAAATAAGCTACAATCAACTAGAACCAACTTAAACTATGTTCAGTTGCTATAATGTAAAATATAAAACCGAAATTTTAAATTATACCCATCTTGTCTTGCCATTACAGAAAGCAGCTCCTCCTCCCTGGCCATTTCCTGCACCACATTGGGCTGCAAGAATGGTGGCACATGCATCACCCAGACAAATGGAAAATCCTACTGCGCGTAAGTACAACTTGAACACATTCCCAACAAACAGCGCAAGTCGAAAAATAAAAATAAAATAAAAAACCCATGCGAAATCCAGTTTCTGGTTGCGGAAGGAAGTAATCATTAATTAGGGCCAGGTTACAATGTTCGTGGGCTCTGTCCCTCTCTCTTTGAGAAGAGGCCTGTCAATTTATGCAAATTAAAACCAGTCGGCGGCGTGAGTGTGGGGAAGGGGTGGGGTACGGGTTGAATGTCAAATATTTGCCATAAACTTGAATTGGTTTGCTTAATGATTAGCATACGGTTTTTTTTTTTTTTGGGCTACCGAATTGACAGCAGCAATTTGCATATGTCAATCAATTGGTCGACAGCAACGGCCACCGTTATACTAACGTATAATGTCGGTTCCAAGGACACGCAAAGAAACTCAAAAATTGAAATTGAGGCCTTCCATCATTTGTTGGCCTGAAGCACCATAAAATAAAAAAAAAAACATTACGACAAGAACTTAAATTCGGTTGAGACACGTCTATACCATGAGTTAAAGACCAAAAAAAGGAACAAGAAAAAACGACTATCTTCAAACCGGAGCTAAGTTGCCCACATCTGAATATCGCTATAAACCGTCGGATAGTTCCTGTGCCAGCGTCAGAATATATTGGTCCGCTGTGAATGGTTTGTTATCCAAATGTTGGGATTATGAAAACTGTTGAGCCTTATGCGGATAACTTGGCAAACGAGTGTTGTTCCTACAAGAACTCATATTTCGACCATAGGATATTTCCTAGTAATATGATCTGGCATAAAGAGGAAGTTTTATCAAGACCGTTTAAAAACTGAGCGACTAGTTTGCAAAGTAAAGGATAGTGATACTGATCGCATCGATTAGGTTAGTGATACTGATCAAGAATCTCCATACTTCAGACGCTATCGTCAGTGCCTTACAATGTTGACGACATAACTATAATTTTCTCTGCAAGGATGTTGGAAAAATCAGACACAAAAATTTTGAAAAAGAGCTGAAATTGAATTTTGTTCTTAAAATGCAAAGTCGACAAAGAGAGATTTCCCTGCGATGGATGAACGACAAACGAATATCGAACGAATGTCGACAAATGACAAGCGAATGTTGGCGAATGATGACGAACGACTACGGTTCGTGTGTTTGCTGGGTTTTTCTGATTTGTCCGCCATTTTCGCCCTTTCCGCTTAATTTTTGCTCTGGCAGTTGTAGCTGTCTCTTTTTTTTTTGTCTATTCTGTGGCATTGCATTTTTTTTTATTATATTTTACTTTTTGGTCTTTTTCGGTGTTTTCGTCATAAATCAAATGCGAATGCGGCCTCAAACAAATGGCACGTACGAAACGCATAACTTGAACTGAGTTATGATTTGAGGATGGCTGTGACGAGTCGAGCACTTACTTTACTCTGTTTTTTTTTTTTATGGAGTCTGTCAAAATTTAACGAGTCAACGAACATGGCATAATTAAAACTCGGTACGTGTAACCGACATGGACTCGCAAGCGGTACTCGAAAGAGTTCGTTTTAAAGATCGATTGCATTGTCAACGTAACTCTCGCACAATCACAGCTGTGATCAGGGATCTGTGAGCAGCGATCAGTGTGATCTGTGTGTGTGATCTACAGCACGATCGGGGGCGCTTTCATTGAGCGCATAATGGAGTAGATTGGAGTTGTAAGTAGTTCACTTGAGAGTCTGTCATTGCTTCGACACATGATCTTTAACATAAAACTGTGATCAAGAGAACATTAATTGACTATTTAACCTGTATAGGGCACTTTGTTCTCTCAACTCTCTTGGCTGCAGTAGCCACGGCAACTTCTACCTTTTCCACTCCTCGGCAACTGTTGTCTTGTCGACTATTTTGCTATCACTATCTTTAGCAGGCAATTACATAAAAGCGCTTAAGCTTTTAGTCCAAAAATGCGACCGTTATATATATATATATTTTTTGTTTTGCTGTCGTTGGTTTTACGACATTTTCTCTGGACTGACTAGGCGATCGTTGCTGATGATCAAGCCATGTGGCAGTACATTTTTGCCTCATTGCCTCGTCTTTGTCTCTTTTGGGCCTTGTGCGCAACTCAGACCGAGACTAACTCTAGCTCGGTTTCTGTTTCTGATCATCAACGGCACGATCAAGCCACAGACTTCATTCCAGTCTTTACATATGTAACTGATCTCTTCCACTCTCTCTCTCTCTCTCTCTCTCTCTCTCTCTCTCGCTTGTCTCTCTGTGTCTCCCTCTGTCTGAATGTGCGATAACATCGCTTGAACTTTGTCAGCCATTGAGTCGGAAACAGTAACTGTTGCCTAAGCTGAGCTTGAGCTATTAGAGGATCGCGCTCAGTCTGGCGCGTATGTATTTATACCCTTTCCTTAAAAAAAGTATTCTCATTTTGTCACGAAATGTGTTTTGAATTACAAATCAAAAACAAATTATAGTATACAAACAATACTGTGGCAACTTTCAGTCGGCTGATAAGCCGTTTGCTAAAGAAAGTTTAGAGGCGGCATCAGATGAGTGAAGGTATTTTTTTGGAAGTATATCTTGACAAACAATTAGTTGTGTTGTGCTAAAAGGCAAGGGTATTTAAATTTTGGCATATCATGCTTGGCTGTTGTTCCAGTTTTTATTATCTTTGCTGGCAGCTGTGGGGTACGTTTACCGCAGTTTGTCTTGATTTTCGAATTGGTGCAGAGCTCAATGATTATTTTGCAAATTTTGCAAATTTCTCGAGATTTTGCCAAACGGAGCACGGAGCACTGTGTTTATTTTTGGCCATTTACCGATCAGCTCGATACGATCAGAGCGACTCGGGCTCAGCTCTCTGAGTTTGTTGGTTGTTTGTTTAATTGACTTGATTGCCCGAGTTGATGGCCTGTGCAGGACACGACGCCGCGACGTTTGCAGATCTTACAGCCGTTTATGTCAGCGAGACGTTTGATTCGCTTTGATTGGCTCTTTTGCCCGTTTGCTTCTACAGCAACATAAAATCTCTAGCCATGTCAAATGTCATGTTCGAGTCCATTTTTGGGTTGGCATGGATCGCCCACAGAGATGGCCGCTCGCACAATTATGCACTTGAGTGAGACCGCAAGTCCCCCAGAACAATGAATTTGTTTGTGGCTCAATAAAAGTCGCTGCTGGCTGTTGTTCATCATCATCTGTTGCTTGCCATCAAATGTTTCGTCTATTATTTATCGATCTGTATTGTGTGGCCAGCTTTTTTTCCTTTTATATTTTTCATTTTTTTGTGTTTTACTTGCGGTTTATGACATGTTAATAAGCAGCTCCCACCACAAAAAAAAAAAACGGCTTTGAAAAAATGTGGACTTAGGCAACAAATGCGGCATATTGAAAACTTTGCTTTGAAGTACGAGCAATCAACAATCTCCAACAATCTGCCCAGAGAAGAGAAAAGAAACAAGAAAAAAGCTCAAACTGTGATGAGCTTGATGTTCATGTTGATGCTGCTGTTCATGAGTCATCGGCTGGCTAGCTGGCCATATAAATATTTGGCAACAGGAATTGTTGTTAATGTGAGCAGCATCCAAAAATATGTACGCTCAAACCATTTTCGATTTTTCTTTGATCAAAGGCAAAGACGCGTATCTCGAATACTATTTCGAGAGCATTTTCCATTAGAGCTATTGGAGTTGAAATTCAAAACTCTTTTTGACTGCAAGAAAAATTATCCGTGCACCGACGAAGAGCTTGAAGATAAAATAACAAATAAGCAACCGATCTCAATTATCAACTGGTGACTTTAAAAAGCTGTATTTTGTTTGGAAACTGGATGAACCGTTTATATTCGCATTCATTTCTTCCCAGCCATTTTAACGGATTAAGCCAGCATTATCAACCCAATCGTAGTGCCTGCAATTTGTGAAAAGTGCTTATCACAGTGAGGTTTACACAGTGACAGTTCACAAAAGCAAAATGTGTCTGGACTGAATTGCTGACCCGCAACAGGGCGAAAAGAATTTTGTTCGCTTAGTTTTCGTTTTGTTTTTTGTTGGGTTAAGCTCGAGGCAAGTTCGTTGCCTAAGTCTTTCGTTTTGTATTGTGCAGCGCTCAGTTCATTGTTTCATGCACAGCCAGACAGCCGACCAGCAAGAGGTAGAGAAAAGTGAAGTGTGTGTGTGTGTGTGTTTGTGTTTGTGTACTGCTTAATGCCCATGCTTGTATATTTCCATTTAATTTCATTTCCCCACACGACGAGCGGCGCAGCCGCAGCAGAAGAAGAATAACAACAACTTTGCTTTTTATTTCAACTCTCGGCTCACACGCTTTGCACTTGAAATGTTCTTTTTGGCTTTCCTTTGCCTCCGTATATATATATATATGTATAAATATATATATGTGTGTGTCTATGTATGTGTATATATACATATATGTATTATATGCTGCTTACCTGTCCCGCCGTCTTAGCCACGTCTCACCCAGCCTTGACTTATCTTGCTGCTGCTTACCTTTACCTGCTCTTTTGCCCTCCAAACAAAAAGTTAAAAATTTTCAAGCTCTGTGTGCAATTACTTTAATTAACTCATCATTAAGCACGACAGCAGCAAAACAGTCGGGTGCTGTTTGTGTATGTGAGAGTGTGTGTGTGTCTGTGTGCGTGTGTGCGCTTGTATCTAAAAAGCAAACAGATACAGGGCTGACCAAAGGAAATGACAATGAAAATGCCCAAGCACAAAAGTCAAAAGCAATCGCCGCGCTAATCTCTTAAGCGTCTTCGCTCAACACGGCAGCAGCAGTTTTTTATGGTCCAGTTACAGTTAGCAGACAGTCGAGAGAAGCTGCTGCTGCTGCTGCTGCTGCTGCTACTGATACTGCTGCTGCTGATGCTGCTACTGATGATGACACATTTAGAGAGCGTCAGCTGGCGGCCATTTTGTGGCGCATCCTTCGATTTTTATCAGCAGGGCCAAAGCAGCTTCAGGTCCCCAAGTTTCAGAGTAGCGAGTTTAAACTTGTTTGCAACCTG